CCCCAATAAAACAGCCATTTATTATTATTTGATCTTTCTGATTCCTGAGATTTATTCCAAATAAATCATCGTCATCATCATCATCATCATCATCACCATTATGCCCAAATTTCCAATGGCTTACCTATTAAGGCAACAGTATAGAACTCAAAGTCATCCTTGGCTACATAGAGCTTGAGGCTAGCCTGGGCTACATGTGACAGTATCTCAAGGAAACAAAACAGACAGCATACAGTACCACACAGAGCCAAACCTGTGGCTGCACTGGAGCAGGCCACACAGGAAACTGAGTCATGACTAGGCCTATGGGGACAACATCACTCGTTTTGTGTGTGTGTGTGTGTGTGTGTGTGTGTGTGTGTGTGTGTGTGTGTGTGTAACTCGGCTCTACTGTGGAGGAAGGTCTGAGCTGGTGGGTCATTCTTGGCTTCATTACCTCCAGGGACCAAGGCTGGGTGGCTGAGGCAGACCAAGGTCCGACACACCCAAAGCATGCAAGGAAAACGACAAGAGGTGATGCCTTGAAGGGGCCCTTGGCAACCAGTGTGGCTTTTGGGCTTGTGGTGGGGCAGGATAGAGGTGTATTCTGTTGGGGGAATTGGTCTAGGTCCCGGGTTGAACCATCTTGGACATCCTGATATAACTAGACAAGACTCCACTGATGGCTGGGAGAAAAAGAAAACATGTCCCATCCTGCTGGACCACGGGTCTACTGCTTTTTTGTTGAGATGGGGTGATAGTGTAGCCCAGACTGGCCTGGGACTCACTATGTTGCCCAGGATGGCTTCAAACTTGCAGAAATCCTTCTGCCTATGCCTCATGAATGATGAGGTTACAGGTACATGCCTAGTTTGATCTTAAATGTCCCTAAAAGGCCCATGTGTCATAGTCCTGGTCCCTAGACCATGGAAATAGTTATAAAAAGCAAGCCCTACAGGAAGTGAGGTCATTGGGGATATGCCCTTGAGGTGTATATTAGGACCCTGGCCACTGTCCCAACACTTTCTATCTTCCTAGCTGTCTGTCACAGACTGGCATCTCTCTTTCTTTTTCTTCTTTCTTTCTTCCTTCCTTCCTTCCTTCCTTCCTTCCTTCCTTCCTTCCTT